AAAAAAAAAAAAAAAAATACATAAATAAAAATAGCCAGACTATGGCAGGCACCTGTAGTCCCAGCTACCTGGGAGGCTGAGGCAAGAGAGTCGCTTAAGCCCAAGAGTTGGAGGTTGCTGTGAGCTGTGACAGGACAGCACTCTACCCAGGGCGACAGCTTGAGACTCTGTCTCAAAATAAAAAAAATAAAAAAAACTTAAAATTCAGGCTTGTAGCTCTTAGCACAGTGGTAGTGGTGTCAGCCACATGCACAGAGGGTGGCAGGTTCAAACCTAGCCCAGGCCAGCTTAATAAACAATGACAACTGCAACAAAAGATGGCCAGGCACTGTGGTGGGCACCTGTGGTCCCAGCTGCTGAGGTAGGAGAATCGCTTAAGCCCAAGAGTTTGAGGTTGCTGTGAGCTGTGGTGCCACTGCACTTTGCCGAGGGCGACACAGTGAGACTCTGTCTCAAAAAAAAAAAAAAAAAACAAACTTAAAATTCGTAAGAAAGTGGTCTTTTAGAGAGGTATAAAAATGAAAGCATCTAAAGAACATCACAGAACAGAAGGAGCTCTAAGTGGATAAGAAATAAAAGCTGCCACACCTTCTCTACATACTAGCTTTTTAGTTAGTATAGAATTTATTCTTTATATTACTTAATTTCCTTTTCCCAAGTATTAAATAGGCATAATTAGTGGCTAGATAATTCATTGCTTCCAGACTTTTCAATAATAACACATTTTAGCATGACAAGTATTAAAAAGACTAATAACAGGCTGCTCTGGACCAGGCCCTGTGCTCCTGCAGAGGGGACAGCCCACAACAGAGCCTGCAGCAGCATACAGGGCACACTCCTCCCTATACGGGACCTTCTTTCATTCCTGTGCAGGTTTCTGTTTCTCACTCCTATCTTTTTTTTTCTTTTTTTTTAAGAGACTGAGTCTTACTTTATTTTTTTGTTGTTGTTGCAGTTTGGCTTGGGCTGTGTTCGAACCTGCCACCCTTGGTATATGGGGCCGGCGCCCTACCCACTGAGCCACAGGCACTGCCCCCCTCACTCCCATCTTGAGAGATGAAAGTGTTTTCCTTCAAAGCCTGGAAGGACTTAATCTCACATGTACAAAGTGCTTTATAATGCACAAAGGACAGCATCTCAGTAGGCTGCCAGCAAAGTAGGCAGAGCCAAGGGGAAGCTTACTTGAACTGGCAGAAGATATCTGCATACTCTGGGAGGATCCCACTGGCCTGCAACACGGTTACTCGGAAAGTGAAGGCACTGCCCAGTTTCAGGTGGTTGCCAATCTCTTCCGAAAACCCTTCCATCACCATCTTGCCATCCAGCAAAGTGCCAGACTTCAAATCTAAAGAGGGACAAATGAACATACATATAGTTCAAACAATGTGAAGAGGAGGGAGCTGGGCATTTTCTCCATCCTTTGATCACGGTCAGTATTTTCCCGTCTTTCAAAATGTTCCCCAACACAGTAAACTCTGTCTACTTACCCAAGTCATTCATTCGATTGATTTCTTCTGGAGGGGAGATGACCTCAGAACTCTGACCCTGTCCTTCCACAATCCTCAGCTCCTCCAAGGACAGACCAGAACGAGTCATTGCAACAGAAGAGAAGTCATTCTGAAAACAAGGGAGGGGAGGTATATGACAAAGTACTACAAAAAACATAGTTTTCATTGATTTCCTTACTTCTGTTTATTTGTTTGACAAATAATAGTGACTGGAAAACAACACAGATTAAAAACTGAGGAAAGGCAAGAGAGTGAAAGGTACATGCTGGGTCTGTGCCGTTGACCTTAACCTTAGTAATTGCTGGGCATGTCCCATATTTTAGTGAACAATCTGCGGTCACCAGCATCCTGTACTTTTTAATTCTAGAAATGGGAATTAGTCTCCAATGCAGAACATTTCCCTTAAAACCCTACCTACTTCTTTCTATTTCCATAAGGTTTTCCTTCTTCCTGAAGGTTTCTCACCTGATTAAAGTACTCGTTATCAAAAGATATTTTAGCTGTTCCTGACTGTCGAATTCCAGAGCCATAATCAGGAGCTTCTTCATCCGCTAAGTAGAAAAAAATCAGCAAAGACAGAATGAGACTACATATGGGAGAAAGATGAATGACTCTCGTCAGATTATGAGATAAATAGCAAAGTCCCTTTCGATAAGAAAGAATGACACTGAAGCAGCAAAATTACAAGGGCTGCTTCCAACTCTGTGTGTAGGTTTACCAACCTCCTTAGTTCACATAAGACTAGTTAATAATCGGTTTTATTTTTGAGATTGTTCAAATGTCGTATCTAGCATACTGAGCCACCCCTCTATTGTGGCAAGATTATATTCAGTAATACAAAACAAACACTTAAAAATACTGTAATATACTTGTGGAGGCAACTTTCATAAACTCAACATTGTGGACTGTGGCAAAGGTTTCCATAAAGAAAAGGCTGAAAGGTTGCTTAACAAAGTGCAGCATTTGGGAATTAAGACAGAAAAATTACAGGAAATGGCCACATTCTTTCCTTAGAATATAGTCTGGATCATAGAAAATACCAGAATATTGACTGATTGATTTTTTTTTTTTTTTTTTGAGACAGAGCCTCAAGCTATCCCCCCGGGTAGAGTGCCGTGGCATCACGCTCACAGCAACCTCCAACTCCTGGGCTCAAGCGAGTCTCCTGCCTCAGCCTCCCACGTAGCTGGGACTACAGGCGCCTGCCACAACGCCTGGCCATTTTTTTTTTTTTTTTTTTGGTTGCAGCCATCATTGTTGTTTGGCGGGCCCGGGCTGGGGATTCGAACCCACCACCTTAGGTGTATGTGGCTGGCGCCTTAGCCGCTTGAGCCACAGGCGCCGAGCCTGACTGATTGATTTTTAAGAGCCAGGGTCTCACTACAATGCCCATGCTGGCCTCCGAGGCTCAAGCCATCCTCCCCACTCAGAATACAGAGTTGCTGTCACTACAGGCATGCCCCCCACCACCACCAGTTTATATCAGAATTTTGACCTGAGCACTATAAAAGCAGTCAAAGAAATGACTAGAAGTACCCTGAGAGAAAATTCAGCAAGACAAAGTCCTAAAAATTCTTCATCACTTCTGAAGTAATTAAGATACTTTCTTTTCTTGCCAATACTGTATTAGGGTAAGATACCTTATTTAAAATGCCAGTGACTTTTACAAAGTTAATCCAAGAGCTGTTCTTTAACATGTTAAAGGAAACCCTTATACCCCATTAATCCAAAACAGTGATAACACAAACAAAATAGAATCTACTTATAATACTTGGGAACAACAGCTAGAAAGGAACCAATAAAGGCTTTTCCCAAGGCAAACCCCCTACAGTTTGTACCTATAATGAAGCCGGCCTACCCCGAACTGAACCCATACTTCTCATATCAGAAGAGGGTCACCTACCTGCAATGGCCTGGACAGCCACACGCAGAAATCCCCGCACTTCCCCCTTCTCACTGACAATGGCCACCCTGTGGATCAGGGGCACAGGATACAGCAGATTGCTCAGGTAAACAAACGCCCTAGAGACAGAAACCAGGAGACTGACATCAGAGCATCCCACAGAGAGAAGCTGGCTTTCAGATTCACTAAGAACATGGCCATGAAACTGCGCTGGCTTCTGGGCCTTGTCACTCCCACCTTCATATCCTCACATTTCCTCCAACTGCATTTTTAGACAGAGACAACACTAACAAATGCAAATGTTTGGTGAAGCCGCTGACAAAGACCAACTTACACCAAATTACTCTCTGCAAAAAATACCACTGTAGGTAAAAGAGTAACAGTTGAAAGTAGACTTTCAAGATACTGCTCTATGATCCTGCTGGGGATAGCAGGTTAACCTCCCCAAGAGATTAACCTTTTAAGGAGTTTTTTTATTTTTCCAATGGGTAAAACAGGAATCAGGAGACTAAAAAGGCAGGAAAAATGTGACTGAAATGTAGTTAATAACTCTAGAATGGATTTCACATCTCAGTATTATGGGTCTTTTATTTTTACTCTAAGGACGGGCTATTCTCTTCGCTGACAAAGTGAAGGAAGCAGATATACATGGGCAGAGAAGCTGTGCAGTCAGAAACCTCTGAGTGGTGAGCTTGATCTGAAGGGCATCAAGATAAAGGCTAAGGGGGAAGACCGCTGATGATCCCTGAAGGGTTTATTTTGCTCCTAGAGTCCAAAACCTAATTCGTGAATGCATAAATAAAAGGTAAGTCACAGAACTAACACTTTACATTTTAAACAAAGTCCTATTACATTTGTATTCCTTTTTTCTTCTCTCATTATTTTGTAGCTTTTGATTTTTTTTTTTTGAGACAGAGTCTCATATGTCACCCTTGGTAGAGTGCTGTGATGTCACAGCTTATAGCAACCTCAGACTCTCGGGCTTAAGTGATTCTCAGTCTCCCAAGTAGCCTCAGCCTCCCAAGTAGCGGAGACTACAGGCGTCCAACACAACGCCTGGCTATTTTTTTGTTGTTGCTGTTATTGTTGTTTAGCAGGCCTGGGCTGGGCTCGAACCCGCCAGCCCTGGTGCATGTGGCCAGTGTCCTAACCACTGAACTACAGGCACCAAGCCAGCCTTTAATTTTTTTAAAAGCAATAAAAATGGTGATCACAAGCTGAAGAGTGTTCATTTCAATTAGTGCAAGGGAAAGAAAATCTAGTTCCTACTGTTACTCCTACTTTCCTACTTGGCATATGCTGATCTTTGAACATAAGACAAAGGACAAAGAGTAAACACTTGCATCAAGAAATCAAACATAACTAAAAGCGACATCATGCCTGTCTGCTGTAGATTTCCTGTTCTGAAATCTACTTTAAAACAAAGTTAGGAGGAGAACGGGGTGGATATTGGGATTTCAACTCAAAGTAGTAAAAATTCTGGAAATAGACAAAATTCACCACAGAAAAACAAATGTTAATAGAACTTTGAGAATAAATGAAATATGAATGAAAAGTAAAATAAAAATAACCACAAATGAACATTAAATCAGACCAATTGATGACTCCTTCCCTTTCAGTCTGCTCCTAAGTGGGAGGGGCGAATGAGGCTCAGGAAGAGGGTTAGAGCTTCGGGGCATAAAAATTTTAAGTACAAAGTCTTCTAAAAAGGATTGTAAAGAAGACCATCAAACACCAACTACCACAACAGAGTTGAAAAGACTAAGAATTCAGCACAAGCTATCACATAGAGATCATTCTCCTTTCTTCCCAGCTTTCCAGCCAGACTTGCCCACTTCCAATGCCTGGGCTATTAAAGAGTCACTGCACATGGCCCCTGCCTGTAGTCCTCTCTGCACTCACTACCCATCTCATGCCTTTGACTTCACGTCTTCAAATCTTTTATTATTTATTTATTTATTTATTTTTTATTGAGACAGAGTCTCACTTTGTCCCCCTCAGTAGAGTGCTATGGCATCGTAGCTTACAGCCACCTCAAACTCTTGGGCTCAAGTGATTCTCTTGCCTCAGCCTCCCTAGTAGCTGGGACTGCAGGCACCTGCCACAACACTCGGGCTGGTTTTTTTTTCTGTTTGTTTAGCACGCCTGGGCTGGGTTCGAACCTGCCAGACCGGAAGCATGTGGCCAGTGCCCTAACCACCAAGCTATGGGCCCCCTCACATCTTCAGTGGGTACAGAATTTTTGCTGCAAATCATACTGAGGATGGTAACTAGTGGGAACATACACAATAAGCAGTTCCTAGTGATCTTTCACTGACCTAGAGCTCATTACCACATAATTGGCATAGCATGGGTGGAGCTTTCATGAAGAATTGTGGGGAAGCCCTATTGGCATGCCTAGAAAGGGAAACTGTTACATAACCAACCTGTTATGTAATCTCTTTTATAATCTTAACCTGTCAATCACCCCAAAAGGCAAGAAATAATAACCAATACCACCAGGAGAAAGGTGGGCCAAACTAGTGGGCTTATAAAATGCAGCATGTGCTCAGCATTGCTCAGACTCTGGTCTGTCTCCACTTGTGGAGGCTAACCTGTTTCTCTCTCTCTGGAACATGTTTTCACTTTTGTCACTTTGTGCAGCTTCTTCACTTTCACTTTGTATAGCTTATTTCTTTCTCCAGTAATAAACTGTTTGTGTGGGACTGTTCTGTATCTGTGACTACTCTGTTATCAGCTCAGCTTGGTACCAGTACTCATTCTTGACACCAGGAACTAGGGGACCTGGGAACATCCAGACAGACCCAACACCCTGTGTTATATAATCTTGGCAACACACACATTACAGCATGTCCATAACGTTGGTGTGCAATTTAAAATAGTTGGCTATTTTCTTTTCTTTCTTTTCCTTTTTTTTTTTTTTCCGTTTAGCTGGCCCAGGCCATGTTCACCAGCCCCACCCAGTGCATGTGGACGGCACCCTAACACTGAGCTACGGGCGCCAGTCAAAATAGTTGGCTATTTTCATCATTGCTGTAATTTACATTTATTCATGTGATTACGGCTGTGTCGCCCACCAACTATATGTATGTTAGGGCAGGAACTATGTCTTGCTGTTTGGGGTTTTTTGTTTTTGTGAGACGAGTGAGTGTTGCTCTGTCTTCCCCACTAGAATGCAGCGGTGTGATCATGGCTCACTGCAACCTCAAGTTCCTGGGTTCAAGGATCCTCTTGCCTCAGTATCCCAAGGAGCTGGGACTACAGGCCACTATGCTCATCTAATTTTTTCTAGTTGTGTCTTGTTCTTGCTCAAACTGGTCTTGAATGCCTGACCTCAAGCAGTCCCTGCCTCAGTCTCCCAAAGTGCTAGAATCAGAGGTATGAGACACACCACTTGACCCACATCTGGTTTTGCTCACCATTATCTGCAGAGGTCATGGTCATGTCATACAGTAAATACACGATACATACCTGGTTAGTAAACATCTATGAGCATCAGGAAATAGGAAAATGATCTATCTACTATCTTTAAGCAGATTTTCCAGGAAAAATGGGTTAAAACAGAAACAGAGAAGTAAATTTATCCAACTTTATACTAGGTTGATTTTTCTAGACCATACTCATGACAGATATTAACTATTTAGAACACATCTAGATTCTTTACTATATATGTTATCTCAAACACAACTATGTAAAAATAGGGGCTATTGATTTTTTAAGGAAGCTTATCATATTCATACACATGTTACAATAAAGTACTATTTGAGCACACACTAAAGAGACTTTCCTTCCTGCCTATGGCAATGGCCATCCCAAGCGTGAAAGCATCAAAGACATTTTTGCAGATTTCCTTCCCAATATTTTATTTATTATTTTTTTTTTTTGGAGACCGAGTCTTGCTCTGTTGCCTAGGCTAGGGTGCCATGGAGTCAACCTAGCTCTGAGCAAACTCCAACTCCTGGGCTAAAGCGATCCTCCTGCCTCAGCCTCCCAAGTAGCTGGGACTACATAGGTGCCCTCTACAATGCCTGGCTAGTTTTTCTATTTTTAGCAGAGATGAGGTCTTGCTCTTGTCCAGGCTGGTCTTGAACTCCTGAGCTCAAGCACTCCTCCTATCTCAGCAACCCAGAATGCTAGGGTTACAGGCATGAGCCAGTGTGTCTAGCCCAAATTTCCCTTTTTAGAAAAGAGAATTTTATGATTTTATGGCAGGAGCAGGGCATCAGCTCTGAGACTGTACAATCACGCATTCACAAGACAGCTCCTCGTCATGTTACCTGATCAGAATATAGCCCTTAGCCCAAAATCGATGCTGTATAAAAGGTCTCTTCTGACACTTTATAAACTGGAATTAACTCTGCATTTTTGAGAGTCCTTATACTTTGACTTAGCAGACTGAAGGAGAACAGGGATGAGAGAGGGGAAGATGTAAAGGATACATTAGCAGTGAAGTTACATCAAAAAGGTACACAAATTTGTCAACATAAAGATAAGAAATATCAGCATAATTATGATGATATTTACAGAAAGAATGTCAGTTAAGGTATTCAAAAAGACCACAGAATAACCATCCTTTGTTCCCCTTCGGCCCAGAAGACTAACTTAAATCGTTTACATTCATCCCAAATTACGATGGATGGTGCATAACATCCCACCATGCCATAAGAGAACAGCTAAAGGGACAAGCTCTTTTAGTTTTCATATAAAGATTCACCAGAGGCAGCCACAGCCAAGGAAAAAACCTACAAATGGAATTTCACGAGAAATTAAAGATTTCTGCAAGTGATTTATATTACAATTATCTGCCAATAGGGGAAATCCAATCCTGTGAATCACGAGAACAGGAAAGAAGTCACTCCTATTATATATACAATGACCACCACACAACCGAGTGATGCTGCATTATCAGAATTTTGTTTATACAGGAGAAATGTAGTCAAGGGCAACAGTGGAGAGCTATGCTTCACTTTTTGGATTACTATGATTCACCTCTTCACCTAGTCTCTTGCAAGGCAAGGTAGTTCTAGAACCTAGGAACGGAAACAAATGGAAGCGTCGCTTCCTGAGCCATATCTCCCTAAATGCTTTATGTGAAAATCAAAGTAGGATTAATTGCCTTATACCTACACTTATATCTGATGTAATTAAAAAAATAAAACTAGAGAGACTGTATCTTAACATATCTATCTTAAGGCAGCTGGTTTCCACATTAAGAGGGATTCTGAATCAAGTGTCCACACAACTAATTCAAAATACAAATACTTCTTAGTAGAAATCCTAGGTAGGATGTTTGCTTTTCTAGGGTAGATGACAGAATATGCAAGATGAAAAGATTTTTAAGGTTCTTTTTTTCTGCCTAACTGTTCTTTTTACACTTGAGAACCCAACAGGCCTCGGTTTAAGTTGCTTGTCCTAAGTGAGTGACACAGGTGGCCCCGGCTTCTCCTCACAGTTATGCAGGTTTCTCCTCCCCACACCACTAATCATAGGATGAAGCTGTCTACTCCTCACCATGCAAAGGTACAGAACACATGTGAACAGCTTTGGAAGCTGCACAACTGACACTGGGACCAAGTTTATGGCCAGAAATTGGGTTCTAACTTCCAACCCTCTTAGAATTGTATGGAAATGTACCGAACAACAGGGCTACAAGATTTAAAACAAAAGCATTACTATCCCACAATCTGTATGTAATTTTCTCAGTTTTAATATAAATCAGCTTCTCTGATTGTTGATGGTGTCAATGGAGGACTTTCTGAGATTCCGTATTATAAAGTCTGTAAGTAAAATTTTAACAGACACCAAAGACCTACAGATAGGCTCAATGAAACTGACCAATCAAAGACATCTTTCTTTAATTAATTTTTTTTTTCCTTTTAGAGACAGGTCTCACTGTGTTGCCTCGTCTGAAGTGCAGTGCCATAATCACAGTTCACCGCAGCCTCAAACTCCTGAGCTCAAGTGATCCTCCCTCCCACCCTCAGCCTCTTGCGTAGTTGGAAGTACAGGTATGTTCCACCACTCAGCTATTTTTTAATTTTTGTAAAAACTGATGCCTAGGCTAGTCTCAAACTCCTGGCCTGAAGTGACTCTCCTACCTTGGCCTGCTAAAATGCTGAAATTATAGGTATGAGCCACCACAGATGGCCAAGGTATCCATTTTAGACAAAGGAGAAACTTGACTTTCCTGATTGTTTTTGTATCTCAGTAGACGAAGGAAAAAATCAACCCAACACTCCTCCTGAGTCCACCTTGTCCTCTGACTCCTGCAGCAGGATTCAGGAATTCTTTCGCCTGACCTTGCACTTGCTCTGCTCCCTTCCTCATGCCATCTCCTATACTTCTTCAATCACGCTGCTTTAAGAAGGAAACATCTAGACTACAATACCATTCACTGAACTCATGTTTGACTCTTAGCTTTAATTACTTTCTCCTTTGGGGTTCCTCCTTTAGAACAAAATTATGGGGCAATTTAAGACCAGGGGTCCTCTATGAGGTATTTACACATTGCTGTACGTTGGGCTGAGTAGACAGAGTACACTACAAACAATGCCTGCGATCTCTCTCTGGCCAGATCAGCATTATAAAGAGCCTGACATACTGGTGGCCTTGAGGACAGAGTGTGAAGTGAATTGGCTAAAGTAAGATTATCCAAAACTGCACAAAGAGGCCTTTTAGATCAAGAGCTGGTCCCTTTTTGCCTTTCTCACAATAACCTCACCAACCTTCCCACTAAAATGAACCAAGGGGATCGGTCGTAAAACGGGTCATGCCCGTCACTGAAGAGATCTGATCCCTCCTCCGTCCCTGCGTCAGAGCCGGTGTCATCCACGAATGCCTCATCATCAAAATCCTCCATCTCATCTTGCTGCTCGTCAGCCAGCTCAGTGATGTCGGAATCAGCCGTGGAAAAAGTAGGGGAGGGCGTGCGGTCAGCAAGGCGCTCATTCACACAGCCGTGGAAAATGGGGGAACTAGACACCAGGGAAGACGACGATTCACACAGCCAAGGAGAGAGGAATAGTTGGTTAAACAGGAAGCTACAGGTACCAATAGGACAGAATCCACTGGAGAATCAACACAATAAAAGTTAACAGAAAAGCAAAAGGATAAAATAAACAAAAATCATCTGAATTAGATGAAAAGAAATAGGGCAGGTTGAAAAAGTTATGCAAGGCCTGATCTTCAGAATAAGAACAGCAAAAGAAATACGTGAGTAGACCATTCCCAGCAAATATTGTGCTATAAAATGTTTATATTCTCTAGTTCACACAAGAGATTAGCATCCAGGCCTCAAAGGAGCCACTGAAATAAGGCTTCGAATCTTTATTCAAATTCTCATATCATCTCAGAGTAGAAAACGAAATGGGTGAAATGGGATATGCTAAAGCAGCACGTGCTTTTCTTGGCCAAGGTATGTTTAGCCAATTCATCTCTTTGAGAAAACCTCTTTACTATCAGAGTAGAATGGAAAAGACTTATTTCATTTTTATTTCAGCAACTCCTTGTTACCCAGTACCTTTAAAAAACATCACAGAGTTTTTGCAATTGCAAAGCAATTCTAATTCTGAAATCATTCAGCTCAAAAATTTTCCCCCTACTTTAAAAATTCTAAACCTCTAAGAACTAGATTCAATATGGACTCACAAGACTGAGACACAATGGCTCACACCTGTAATGCCAGTGCTTTAGGAGGCCAAGATGGAAGAATCACTTGAGCCCAGGAAGTCAAGACCAGCCTGGGCAACACAGTGAGACCCTGTCTCTACAAAAATTTAAAGAACTGCCAGATGTGCTGGCACACTCCATAGTCCCTGCTGCTCCTTTGGGAGACTGAGGCAGGAGGCTTGCTTTCAGCCTGGGAGTGTGAAGCTGCAGTAATATAATCATGCCACTGTACTCTAGCCTGGACCATAGGGTGAAACCCAGTCTTTAAACAAAAAAAAAAAGACTCCTGGCTCAGCACCTATGGCTCAAGCAGCTAAGGCACCAGCCACATACACATGAGTTGGCGGGGTATGAATCCAGCCCGGGCCTGCCAAACAACAATGATGGCTGCAACCAAAAAATAGCCGGGTGTTGTGGCAGGTGCCTGTAGTCCCAGCTACTTGGGAGGCAGAGGCAAAAGAATCGCTTAAGCCCAAGAATCTGAGGTTGCTGTGAGCTGTGATGCCACAGCACTTTACCCAGGGTGACAGCTTGAGGCTCTGTCTCAAAAAAAAAAAAAAAAAGACTCCTAGAAGCACTACTTGTTTTCATTAAATGCTGAAAATGCTGGAAATGATGTCACAAAACAGGTTCAGGGCGACTTGCACAGTGTGCAATTAGTTTGTCCTTGGCAGTGACTAAAGTGGGATGAATTGCTTAAAAAGAAAGAGGACAAATCAGAAAATGAACAAACTGCAGTCCCATAAGCTATGCTATGATTTTAAACTGTGTACAATACAGATACAGGTTTCCTTTTTCTTTACATATACCTTTTATTTTATTGTTATTTCTTTGGAGAAATAACAAGTGATTCTCCTGCTTCAGCCTCCCAAAGCACTGGTGTGAGCCACTGTGCTCAGCCTTTTAAATCTATCTTAATTAATAGTAAAACATTTTGTGAGTAAACTGGAAGCCAGGGAAGACTGTTAGGTTGAGGCTTGAAACAAATACGCCGTGTGAATAAAACAAAAGGGAAATACACCAAATGACATAGTGGTTATTATACCGGTAGATAATATTACAGACTGTGCTTGTTTATACAGCTTTCTTTTAATTTATTGTAATATCTGCTATGGTTTAGAACAATTAAAATAGGAGTATTTATTATTTAAAAAGACAACATCAACAAAATTATCACATACCTCCCCACAAGTTTGAACCAGTGGAACCGATCATAGAACGGATCGCTGCCAGTCACAGTGGTCTCGCTCTCATCTTGGGCACCAGAGGCCATCTCCCCTGCCCTGTCATACATCTCTCGCATCAAATCCAGCCTCTGCCTGTTTAGTAAACATAAGGTGCATTGGGTTAATACTATGAGACTGCGTGAAAATTTTGCTTTGGAAACATCTTCCATCCAAGTGTTTTGGAAAAGAAGCTCCTCCTACTATTTAATATTACTTTAAAAGGATGAAGATCACACATACAGAAAGCAAAATAGCATCCAGGCTTGATGCCTGCAGCAAGGTGGTTACAGTGCCAGCCACATGCACCAAAGCTGGTGGGTTTGAGGCTGGTGTGTTTGAGCCCAACCCGGGCCAGCTAAACAACAATGACAACTGCAATGAGAAAATATCCAGGCATTGTGGTGGGTGCCTGTGGTCCCAGCTACTTGGAAGGCTGAAGCAATAGAATGGCTCAAGCCTAAGGGTTTGAGGTTGCTGTGAACTGTGATGCCACAGCACTGTACCGAGGGCAACAAGAGACTCTGTCTCAAAAAAAAAAAAAAAGCAAGCAAGCATCCAAAGAATTCAGAGACAGCCACCAAAAGTCAAGAATGGCCACCTGTCGTCACCAGGCATGACAGTCACAGGGGAGTGTGGCTCAATGGTGCATGGCATCCCAAACACCCTGAGACAGCAGCAAGTGCCTCATCACATGAAGCCAGGGAGCTATGTTATAAGCTCCCCATTTATCATCAATCATCATGTGGTCCACGACAGAGAAGATGAGTAATTTCCAGATCCAAGACAGAGATAAATATGGAATCGGAACATTTGAAATAAAAGACGGTGTGTGGAGGGTAAATTTTTTTTTTTTTTTGAGACAGAGCCCCAAGCTGTTGCCCTGGGTAGAATGCTATGGCATCACAGCTCACAGCAATCTCCAACTCCTGGGCTCAAGCGAGTCTCCTGCCTCCGCCCCACAAGTAGCTGGGACTACAGGCACCCACCACAATGCCCAGCTCTTTTTTGGTTGCAGCCCTCATTGTTATTTGGCGGGCCCGGGCTGGATTTGAACCCGCCAGCTCAGGTGTATGTGGCTGGTGCCTTAGCCGCTTGAGCCACAGGTGCCGAGCCTATGGAGGGTAAATTTAAATATCTACAATGTCAAAGGTGTGTGAGGAACAGGATCTATTTATTCACTTAAAAGAAGATGGATACACGTTAGTATCACTGGCCACAACAGCAAGCATAGGAAAGACAGCAACAGTGGTTGGTCTGAGCACAGTTTCACTACTAGTCAGAGATTTCATTGTTCCCTCTCTACTTCCACGGCTTCACTTGACTAGCCTTACGAAAAAAAACAAGCAACGGAGAAGAGAGTTGGAGGGAGCCCACTTAAAGTAATTTGTCATTATTTCGTAAATAAAACAATCAGCTTTTATGAAAGTTTTCATACTTGAGTTTCTCCAAAGACCAATAATGTGTTGCTCCATTCTTTAGATCCTGGACTTCTACTGCCACCACAGTGCGAGGGAAAGGCCTGTCCTCGTGAGTTTTTTCCATATCAGTGGGAAGTAACTCGGGAGGCAAAGGCGAGTACAGCGTGTCAGTCAACAGAACAAACTGAAACTGCACCTGAATGGAAAGAATTGACAATGGTTTTCAGTAAGAATGAGATGAGACAAAGGAACCGTGCCCCCGATAGAAAGAAGTCAAATGTAATATTGGCTCAACAAACAGCTTGTGACTGACAAAAATGGTCATCTGTATAAAAATCATAGGGAATAATTTTAATTTCTAATTCAGCTATTTACATTCTTTGTTTTCTTAGTGTAGCAAACTAACATCTCAGTAAATAGGTAATAGTCGACTGAATGAAGTCTTTTGTAGATCTTACACAAGAGACCAAAAGCAGCTGGTGCAGTGGTTCACACCAATAAATCCTGGCAATTTGGGAGGCACAGGTGGGAGGATTACGTGAGCCTAGGAGTCTGAGGTTGTGTGAGCTACCGTGATACCACTGAGCTTTACCCAGGCAACTGAGTGAGACTATCTCCAAAAGACTAAAACCAGACCCAAGAACGCATCTCTAGACACTCAGTAATGAGGGAGAATGGAAACACATGGAGGTTTTCCACTTACCAGGGAGAGATTACAGCTACTACTCTTAGAAGTGTTTATGGTATGGTGCCTGCTTTGCAAGCCTCATGTTATTTATTTCTCACCACCGCCTTATATTTTCACCAACAAATATTAACTAAATTGCTAGGTACAGCAGTTAAAATAAAAAAACCCCTAGTGTTATTGCCTTTACCTACTCTACTCGAGGAAGGGAGTGGTTAAAAATAATAACAAAATGAGAAGGGCTGCTGAGATTATGAATGAAGATATCTTATGTCCAGTTTAGAGGACTAGAACACATCCCTGGTAAAAGATAACAAATTTCCCCTAAATCAGGCAGTTTGTGCTTTTACCCACTACACAATTATCATCTCCCTCTGTAATCTTAGCAGTTATTGTTAAGGTGATACAGAAGGCTAAATCTAAGTTTTGGTGTAAAGTTCTGGTAATAATTACAAACAACAAACAAACAATTTAATGCCTATTACCATTCTCTAGCACTGTTTTATTTTTTTCCAAGATAGGGCCTCACTCTATTGCCTAGGCTGATGCAGTGGTGTGATCATAGCTCACTGTTACCTTGAACTCCTCAGGGGTCAAGAGATCCTCCCACCTCAGCCTCCTGAGTAGCTGGGACTACAGATGTGCATCACCACCCCCTACTGATTTTCATTTTTTTTTTTTTTTTTTTTTAGAGATGGGGTCTAAGTATCTTGCCTAGACTGGTCTCAAACTCCTGCCTCAAGTAATACTCCCTCATCGGCCTCCCAAAATGCTTCATGTGTATTTTGTTCACACTTTCATTCCTTATAATATCCCTTGGAGGCAGCCACTGTTGCTGACCCCACTTTGTAGATGTGAATAGAGGCATAGGGCTATTAGAGACAACACAGCTCATGGAGGTAGGGCTGGACCCTGGACTGTCTGAGTAAGGAGCACATACACTTGTCCATTACACAACAGAGCCTCTCAGAACCCTAGAAGACAAGCAACTCAGTGGCAAAGGGGCATACAGGACTTAAAGGTGAAAACTTAATAGCAGAAAACAAAAGTAAGACATTTCAGAAACCCAAGAGAAGCATTTTTCTATGACTGTTTTTCTAGCTCTTGTCAGGAATACAGGTCCCCCCCCCCCATAAAATAAGCTAGAGAACATCTATTTTTTAAATGTTTTATGAATTGTTTTTTAAATTTTATAATAGAAATTTAATTAGTACCGACTGTATTCCAGCGTATATATATTATATACTATAACATATAATATATATCATTATATATTTAATACGTATATTAAATAAAGGCATATAAAAAAGCAGCATTATTACATAACATAGCTGAGTTCCCCTAAGGGAAAGGTTAGCTCAAAGTGACAGCCCAGATGTGCCCACAGCAGGCTCAGCCTCCAGACTGCCATGTTCCTGTCCCATCATACCTTCTTCTTCAGTTCCACACTGATGGCATTGGCTTCCTTTAGGTACACAGCATTGCCCCAGAGTAAGTCCCTTAATGAAGTAAACTGGTGAGACTTCCATTTCCGGAAGGCCCACTGGGCCAACTCAAATTCATGCTGGGTCCAAGGAACTGAAAGAGCAAACAAAGCATGTTTAATGGTGATCACATAACCACACAGACATCACCTCGCCCCTCTGTCTGGATCTCCTTTATCAAGTTGAGGCATTTTCCAGTTTCTTTTCATTGAGTAGCTTTTGTTTTTCTTCTTTCTAATAAAGCTTACTAATTCTGTTGACATTATGAAAGCAATATATATATTTCAGAAAGCCTAACAAATCAACTCCTGTATTTATGTAAAATAGTATATCAAAGAAACAGATCTCTCTCTCTCTCATTTTTTTGCAGTTTTTGGCTGGGGCTGGGTTTGAACTCACCACCTCCGGCACCCTACTCCTTTGAGGCACAGGCGCCACCCTCTCTCTCTCTCTTTTTTTTTTTTTTTTTTTTGAGACAGACTCTCCCTTTATTGCCCTCAGTAGAGTGCTATGGCATCATAGCTCACAGCAATTTCAAACTCTTGGGCTCAAGCAATTCTCTTGCCTCAGCCTCCCAAGTAGATGGACTACAGGCACCCACCATAACACCTGGGCTATTTTTTAGAGACGGGGTCTCATTCTGGCTTAGGCTGGTCTTGAACCTGTGAGCTCAGGCAATCCACCCACTTCAGCTTCCCCGAGTGCTAGGATTACAGGCAGGAGTCACCATGCCCAACCCTTTCCCTTCCTTTTTTTAAAAAAAAGATATAATTATGGGGTGGTGCATGTGCCTCAGTGGGTAAGGCACCAGTCCCATATACCAAGGGTGGTGGGTTCAAACCTGGCTCCAGTCAAACTGAAACAAACAAACAAACAAACAAAAAATAGCAGGGCATTGTGGCGGGCTCCTATAGTCCTAGCTACTCAGGAGGCTGAGGCAAGAGAATTGCCTAAGCCCAGAGTTGTAGGTTGCTGTGAATTGTGACGCCACAGCATTCTACCGAGGGTGACAAAGTAAGACCCTGTCTCTTAAAAAAAAAAAAAAAAAAAAAGATATAATTATTATGTGTGGCCATAGTAAAAAATATATCCCTGACCCCAGCATGTAAAATGTAGTATAACTTCAAATATTTCATTTTTTTTCCTTTCTAATATAGGAGGGAAAAAGGGCCAATTTTGTCTAGATAGTTAAACATAAAGAATTTAGTACATAAATTAAGAGTTCCTTCAAAGTTAATATGAAGCCTTGAGATTACTAAGAAGTTGGGTGGGAAAAGGAGGTGTGATGAACATTCACCCTAAATTATAAGGCAATAACTAACGATGAAAGCCCTAATTCAGCTAAGAAATGCTAGAAAACTTAGGCAAGCATGATTAAGCAATGTGGTTAGAAATATGCCAAAAATGGCTTTAAAGTACACGGATACATTACAAAGTCCTCACTGGGAAATCTCTGATATAAACCAGCCAACTGAACAGACTATCTTAATAAATATTAAGCTCTATATTTATTTATAGCAGATACATGAACTTTATATGTACAGAAATATTGGGCAGGACGCGTAAGCTTCCTGAGAGATTTATATGAAGACAGTGCTCAGTAATCTCACGAAGCCCTGAGGAACACCACTGGCCCCACACCCACCTCAGTAAATATAGTCAGGATTCTCAGCACTGAGCATCACTTAAACCATCTCTAAATACTGGTAAATGGTACGGCCAACTATGAGGAATCCAGCTTTAATCATGGAAAAAGGACTAATTCGGTAACACAGGTTTCAAAAGATAAACAAAGGAATGTTGTGGTCTCTGGGTTTCACCTTCTTCCTCCTCCTCCTCTTCCTCTTCAGTTGTTTCTGCAGCCAGGGATCTGGTCTCCACCTGCTTCTGCAAGGCCTGCAACTTACTCTCATAGTCCTGGATGAAAAGAAAGGAGATAACATGTAGGAGAGAGAAGAAATAAGAGGGAAGGAAAAGAGAAATGGAAGGGATACTGAAGGAAGTAGAAAAAGCAAAGGACAAATAAAAAAGAATCAGAGGAAGAAATAATAATGACAAAGACATACAGAGAAACGCTTAGGGTCAAAACCACAAAGCACACAAGACACAGGAGGTAAATGCCAAACAAAAAGGATGTTATGCTGTCGTCTGTCTCTACTCCCCCAAAGACTCCAGAGCTCTTTATTTGAGGTGTGATAGGAAAAGGGAGGGTGTTGAGAAGAAGAATGCATTTGTCACTTAAATGTTAAAATACATTTAAGTAACATCTTACACATTAAGGAATTCCAGAGAAAAACAATATTGAAAATTAAATTCACCAGTATATAACTGGTGGGAAGGGAAAAAAAAAATTAGCACTATAGGCTTTGAAGCTCTCTCTGTATGGATGAACAATTAGTACCTTTGCAGTGGTAGGACAAATTTAGCCTTCAGGTTAACAAAAAGAAATCACAGACTTGAACTATAATTTAGAGATTGCATTTAAGTTATGCAAGAAAGATACTTCATTTTAAACATACTATTATAAAATGGATTCTTGAGTGGCACCTGAGGCTCAGTCAGCCCCATATACAGAGCGTAGCAGGTTTGAACCCGGCCCCGGGCCAAACTACAACAAAAAATAGCCAGGCGTTGTGGTGGGTGCCTGTAGTCCCAGCTACTCGGGAGGGTGAGGCAAGAGAATTGCCTAAGCCCAAGAGCTGGAGGTTGCTGTGAGCTGGGACAACAAAGTGAGACTCTGTCTTTAAAAAAAAAAAAATACATAAAATGGATTCTTATAAATCAGATTTATTCTTCATTCTTCCATCTACTGTACATATTTTCAATAGGGGGAATATCACCCCCAAGGGGGGTAAAAATAGTTCTTGAGGGATGAACTATATAAAGCATATGTATGTATGTGTATATGTATTATACTAATAGATAGAAAATATATATGAGGTATTAAAATTTCATGGTGGGGATATTAGGGGACAAATTTCTAAAAAGGCTCCTTAGGGGGTTAATAGAAAAAAAGCCCAAATTTTAATTAAAATCAAACAAGCATGGTTAAGAAAAAAGACCTTCACATAACAAAATACAGAATAACCACAGCATTTTAAGATTGACTGCCAGAGTCCTGCTTCCTTTGGTTCCCCAGCAGTGACCCAATTACAGGCCATGAGACAAAGGGTTTAGGTATGACCATGTACTGTTTTCTCTTCTTTCTTTTTTAAATTTTTAACTACTTGATCATATAAACAGATCCATGCACTATTTGCGGCAGAGCTCTCCAAGTCATACATCAAACATTCCATTCATCACAAAGTACTGCCAAAAGCCTTCTTAGCAAACTCCATTACAAAAGGAGCTCCAAATGGCAATGATTAGAAGCAGGCAATTATTTTCTAAGGTTCTGACCATTTGTCAGTTAGTCTCACAAAGGAAGTGTTCATTCTTTAGTGGGGCCGGCAGTGACCAAGACCAAGAACTAATGACACAGCTTTGTGAAATACCTGATGTACTTTTTAGAAATTATGTACTATGGTGAAAGAGAAAGAAAGAAAGAAAGAAAGAGAGAAAGAAAGAAAACCTAAGCTAGCAGGTAAAATAACTTGGGTTTGGGTCCTGGCATCTGTTCTTTCCAGCTTTATAATTCCAGGAAAGTTAAATCCTCTCTAAACCTCATTTTCTTCTTCTTCTTCTTTTGTTGTTGTTGCAGTTTTTGGCCAGGGCTGGGTTTGAACCCATAACCTCCAGTGGTATATGGGGCCATTGCCCTACTCCTTGAGTCACAGGCGCCATCCAAAACCTCACTTTCTTCATCTTTAAACAAAGATTTTTGATTTGATCTTCTTAATCATATAGGACTGCAGGAAGGACTATGAACCATTTTTTAAAAGTATGAAAGTCATTCTAAATGACAAGAAATGTTTTTTAAAAGTGTTTTTTTTTTTTTTTTTTTGGAGATAGCCTCAAGCTGTCCCTGTGGGAAGAGTGCTGTGGCATCACAGCTCACAGCAACCTCCAACTCTTGGGCTCAAGCAAGTCTCCTGCCTCTGTCTCCCAAGTAGCTAAGACCACAGGTGCCCACCACAAATGTATTTTCTAAGCATATCTAGCACCCAGATCTTGGTTTCTACATACCGTTGCCCACGAAAAGGAGCCAGGGGCTCGGCGCCTGTGGCTCAAGTGGCTAAGGCGCCAGCCACATACACCTAAGGTGGCGGGTTCGAATCCAGCCCAGGCCCACCAAACAACAATGATGGCTGCAACCAAAAAATAGCCAGGCGTTGTGGCGGGCGCCTGTAGTCCCAGCTACTGGGGAGGTGGAGGCAGGAGACTCTCTTGAGCCCAGGAGTTGGAGGTTGCTGTGAGCCGTGATGCCACGGCATTCTACCCAGGGCGACAACTTGAGGCTCTGTCTCAAAAAAAAAGGAGCCAGGGATCCTTGAGAAAATGGCTGATTCAAGGTTTGGAGCATGGACAGTACAAGGTAGGCCTGCAATGCCTTGTACAAAAAAGACAGAAGAATTCAAAGACAGCTAGGACCATTTCAAAAGACATTTATTGGCTTCTACCAGCCAATACATAGGAAAAACAATAGAAAAGGAATATAGTGCATGGAGTATAGAAAGAATCCGTGAGTTTGTAGTGATACTGAGAGAAGAAGAGAAAGGGAAAAGTCTTCCTTTACAAAATAAGCCAGCTAATTACTGGGAACAGTGGTGAGCGATCACCTGTAGCCCAGCTACACCCAAGGCTGCGGCAGCAAACTCAGTCACCTGAGCCAAAGAGCTCAAGGCTGCACTCCTGCCTGGGCAATACAGCAAGATTCTGTCTTCCTTCCCCCCTCCCCCCAAAAAAGCTAACTAAGAAATGCAAAAGGAACAAGGAGTAACTGAGTAAAGCAAGAATCAATAAATGCTAGAATAATTGAGTAAAAGATGTAGTGGGAGATAGAACATTTACACAATCCAGTCTCCAGATATCTATTAATTAGAAAGAAAATGATATATTTATAGTGGAGAGAGCTGAGAAACATCACACTAACTAAATTTATTACACTTTAGCAGTATCAGTAATAGGACAAGTTGACGTTTTATGTGTACTGGTGTGATGTAATGGGAAATACACAATGTTACCTGTATAGCATTCTTACAAAAAATGTTTAACCTGAGATCGATCTTGAGGAAACAAATCAGAATGTGGCCTAGACTTTCCAAAAAATACCAGTATAATGAAAGATAATATAAATATCATGACCAAATGAAATGCAAAAATCTTGACTGGATCTTGGGTTAAAACACACATACATACTCACATTCTCTCTCACTCTTCTTTTATATTTTTTGGGAAAATTAGAGAAATCCGAGAATGGACTGTATATTACACGATACTGAAATCAGTATTAAATTTCTTGGATGGGATAGTGGTATTAACATTCTTGCTTTTAGAAGAGAAACATTAAAGCATTTGGGGTAAATTGTAATGGCATCTGCAACTTTCAAATGTTTCAGAAAAAAATATATAAATGTGGGTATACAAAGCTTCAATGTACTATTTTTTTGCAAATAGGATCTCACTGTGTTGCCCAGGCTAGACTGCAGAGACATGATCACAGCTCACTGAAACCTCAAACTCTTGAGCTCAAGCAATCCACCTGGCTCAGCCTCTGGAGTAGATAGGACTACAGGTGCACACACCACTATGCCCAGCTAATTTTTCTGTTGTTCTACTTTTTATTGTAAGTATAAGGTCTTGCTAAGTTGCCCAGACCGGTCTTGAGTTCCTGGGCTCAGAGATCCTACTACCTCAGCCTCCCAAAATGCTAGGTCCACAGAGGCCAAGCCCAACCATTGTACTAATTTTTTCAGCTATTCTGTAGGTTTGAAATATCTCCAAATAAAACACTGGAGAATGGGAAGTTTTTTCTTTCTATAAAAACTATAGGCTCGGCGCCTGTGGCTCAAGCGGCTAAGGTGCCAGCCATATACACCTAAGGTGGCGGGTTCGAATCCAGCCCAGGCCCACCAAACAACAATGATGGCTGCAACCAAAAAATAGCCGGGTGTTGTGGCGGGTGCCTGTGGTCCCAGCTACTTGGGAGGCTGAGGCAGGAGACTCGCTTGAGCACAGGAGTTGGAGGTTGCTGTGGGCTGTGATGCCATAGCACTCTACCCAGGGGGACAGCTTGAGGCTCTGTCTCAAAAAAATAAATAAATTAAAGAAAACCCAACTATATATTATATTGAATTCTTTGAGTAAAAAACAAAGGCTGCTGGCTCAGTGCCTCTAGCACAGTGGTTACAGAGCCAGCCACATACACAGGAACTGGCGGGTTCAAAGCCAGCCCCAGCTAAACAAGGACAATTGCAACAAAAAAAACCAGCTGGGCATTGTGGCGGACACCTGTAGCCCCAGCTACTTGGGAGGCTGAGGCAAGGGAATTGCTTAAACTCAAGAGTTTGAGGTTGCTGTGAGCTGTGCCATCACAGCACTCTACTGAGGGCGACACAATGAGACTCTGCCTCTAAAATAAATAAATAAATAAATAAATAAGAAAGACTTCCTATGGGCAGTGCCTGTAGCTCAAAGGAGTAGTGTGCCAGCCCCATATGCCAGAGGTGGTGGGTTCAAACCCAACCCCAGCCAAAAACTGCAAAAAAAAAAAAAAAGACTTCCCATAACTGTGTAGATCTAAAACCTTTAACTGCACTGTGACCAGCAATTAGCATTCTAAGCATCAACACCATTTCTTATATCAGCCCCTTCCCCAAACCAGGTCATTTAGCGTCCAACAAGGACACTTGGTTTGTTACCCTCATACTACAAACAGAAATACAGATACTATTGCTCTGTTCATTTCATGGTGAAAACTAGGATAATTATGGAAAGCACACTAAAAAATGTATTTTTCAGGGTGGCTCCCGTAGCTC